TAGCTACTAACTCTGTTAAATTGTCTGTTAAGTTAGGGGTGTTTTCGTCTTTTCACCCTCTCTTACTATTTTTAGGTTAAAAAATAAATTATATATATGAATACATCTACAAAATGTTTATTGGCGATTACAAAACCCACCCCAAATCCCATTGTTTATCGGTGAACCTCACCCGTGCCTTTCCTTTCACACCAACCTGTTTACCAACAATCGTTTGAAGCATTCGAAGATGGACAAATTTGTGTAAAACCATGGAAGATGGACACATTGAAGCCACTGGATAGATCCAAACATTAAAGATGGACATCCGATCTCTCTTTCTTTCTATCGGCGACAGATTCTTTGAGGGTTTTTATCTTTGATTTAGGTCGGGTTTTAATTGGTTTCAGATTTAGGTTTTATGTAGGTTTTTAATATAGGTTAGATAAGATGACTGGAGGAGGTTACCAGAGAAGACCATTGAAGGAGCCCATCGGAGAAGACCACCGAAAGAGGTCCTTGTGTGTCCCTATCTATCTTTTTTTTTTTGGGGGGGGGGGGRGGGGTTCACGAACCAGGAAAGCAAGTAGATCTCAACATATCTCTGTGACGAGTACACCTTGATTGAGAAACGAACAGTGGGGGGTTATGATACCATTATGGTATGACGGAAAGAGAGAGAATGGGGGTGGGGTGGGAGAAAGCATAGAAAAGGGATAGGATGTCTGATGTTTGGGACGAAGATCAGGAGATGGAAGGTGAGAGGGGAGATGGGGCTGCTGGAGATGCTCCTAGGTGGGGTCTTCCTCGTCTGAGACGGGTCTTGGTCACTAGAGACGTCTTGGTTGCCGATGTACATAAATATATACATACACACACACACACATACACGTGAGACCAGCCTGTTTTCATGAGACCCGTGAGACCATATTTTTACATTGGAAACTTTACAATAGAACACTGTGAAAGTAACATTCACAATGTTTTTGTTGTGAATGTTCAATTTTTTTCCCACCTTCATAATGTTTTGCTATGAGTTTCAAGTGTAGAAATGTGGTTTCATAGGTCTCACGAAAACATGATGACCTCACGTCAACCCAACCATATATATAATATTAATATAAATTAGAGTAAATTACAATTTGGTCCCTACAATTTAAACAAAATTGTATAACTTGTCCCTATAAAAGTAAAAAGACGAAAATATCCTAACTTAACAGTAAAAGTTTAACAGAGTTAAGTCGAGGGAATTTTTTTAAAGCAAAATGCAAAACAGTGAGAATGTTAAGTTGTAGTTATTGAAACTTAGGAACCACTCGCGATGATTCGTATAAACCATAGAGACCAAAAGTAGGTTACTCTTCTAATTACTATCCCATGCGTCTCCAAATGCTGCTATCAAATGCTGCGTACTAAAAAATGTTTAAGTCTGTGATGTCCCTCCCCTTTACCTTCTCGATCGTCATATTCTTATCCTCCTTAACTGTAGTGTTATATGTCTAAACTGTAAAATAATTATTATCTAAAATTAATAACTTTAATATCAATTGTTTCTAAATACATCATTAATAAATAAATATTTTTATTAAATTGTAAACAAATCTACACGAAATATCATTATTAGTCTTGGTCAACATTTTGTCGGTGTCTTAATTGAGGAGTGCCCCACCTAAGCGTTACTCCATAGTCCATACTATTACTTTTTCCATTTTAAATTTATCTACTTATTTTTTATAAATTATTACATCAACTTAAAATAAGTATCTATATTATTATTTTTATCTTGTCTTAAAACAAATATTTATTTTAAAAAATATATATNTTATTATTTTTATCTTGTCTTAAAACAAATATTTATTTTAAAAAATATATATATATATATATATATATATATATATATATATTCTCATTATACTTTTAATTATGAGATGTGATAATAATATTTACAATATTAATCACAAGGGTGATGTCTGATTGGTTTAAGTTTGACTCCAAAGGTTAAAAGTACCAGGGGTTTTCAAGTTCAAATCCGAAGAGAAATAAAAATTCTCTTATGGCCACGGAGGTTCAAATACGGTGACTTTGGGCTATCAGCAAAACAGGTGGTCGTTCTGAGATTAGTTGGCTCGCATAGCGAGTTGAATATTCAGGTTAATTAAAAAATATATATATATATATATTTACAACATTTAAATATAACAATCTTTTTAGAAAATAAAAAACAAAATGATTATTGAAGACAAACTTATATAAGTATCCTACATGATTATAATTATTACTTTAATATATAAAACTTTTATTAGATATATAACTGGATTCACTTTATTATTTCATTTTTCTCAAAAAGAGAAAAAAAAAAAAGAAACAAGAAAAAGGAAGTTTGTATTAAAATAGTATTGGAACATTGAAGGGGGTCCAATAGAAGATGGTGTAAGTGGGATGTTGACTAAAAACCAAACTGCAAGGGTGTCATGTGGGATTATTTAAATTATAGATTTCATTAAAAATAAATTATATTTTATTTAAAAGCACAATTTTAGAAAGTTTATTATATATATATATTTAATGTAACTAAGAAAAGGGTAATAATATATACAACCCTTTAATGTCATAATCAGATTAAATCATATATTAAGGATTGTAAAAAGTATATCTTATAAATATAAAATCCTTCGGACTATTCATGAAGCGGGTGGTCGTCCTGAGATTAAGCGTCTCGCATAACAGGTTGAATATCTAGGTTAATAAAAAATATATATCTTAAAGTTGATGTATATAAAGAAGAAATTAATGGGTATAGATGATTTTAATCCACCCCTTACGATAAAAAAAATATATTACTTTCTTATCCACCCCTTACGAGTGGATCCAACCTAGCATTAATTCTGTAAACTAAGACAATTGTTTCCCTAAAAATATTCCACTTGACCCAAGCAAGACTTGACTGGTTCCAATCAAATTACTCAACTAGATACGGTCTAGACTCAACTGGGTCAATCAAATCAAGAACATCAAAATATTAAAAAATGCACGATAAAAAATCCTAAATCCATCGACCTTAGTTGTCTTTATCTGCCTTTAAACCTTTCTTGTTACAAAGGCACCGTAAAAAGAAAAGGGGTAGATAGAACATCAAAATTTGAATCAAGAGAGAGGGAATTGAAGATTTGAATGGGAAGAGAGGCATTTGATGATAAGAAAGAGAGGGAGTTGGGAGAATTTGAATTCGGAGAGAGGACTTGAAGATATAAATGCTCGATATCTTATGCTCGATATTTTTATAATTAACTTTCAGTATGCTTGATAAGTGCTCAATACTGATGAACATGACAACGATGATGACATGGATTAAAATTATGTGTTACAATCCAATTATTATTGGAAATTTGTTCAACAAAAATGCATTACTAAACCATTTTTTGCTTAAAAATGAACCATGAATTTGTGATAAAAGATCATAAAAATATATATTGTTTCTTTGTTGAACATTTACTTAACAAGAACAGTTTATGATAAAGCAGATCAAGTAAAATATCTATAAACAACTATCGAGTCGTTGTCAATGCTATCAAGATGCATAAACGTGAAACTTTTCATTGCCCCCATTTAACATATTTTATATTTAGAAACAAATTTATTTAAAAAAAAATAAAATAAAAATTAATATATCTTCCAAATAATAATATCATCAAACATAATTTAATATTTGAAGGCAACAATTGTTTTAATACTTAGTGATTATTTACAGTTGTTGAATGATTTTATGAAGAATAATTGGGTGGTCAGAATAATTAAGAAAATTTTATAATGTAGTGTAAAATGAAATATAATTGTTTAACATGAAATTAAGACGTTAAATGGTTAAGGAAGGTCTAAGATACGAAATCATTCAAAAAGTTTTAGAACCATTTATGGTAAAAAAAAGAATTGCCAACAAGATCCACCATAATTAAGAGATTTCCTCTTAACAAAACTAATAAAATATAAACAAACGAACATGATGATATATTTTTAAGTACACAAGATTTTTTTTAGGATTTATGATGATAAAGAAGCGCCAATTTCAATTAAAATGTTATGATCCAGTCGTCAGTGAAATCCCTTAAACACCATCACCCAAATCCTCCAAATCCAAATTGGTTCCTAAATCTGATTTGATTCCCAAAATTTGATTTGTTTCCGTCACCATCTTCATCATTATCTCTGCAGATTCATAACTCTTCCTACTGTTCTCTCTCCCCCCCCCCCCCCCCCCCAAATCTCCATTAAAATTCTCATCAGAGAAAGTACATTCATATGGGAGAGAGAGACAGGTAGCAGAAGAACAATTAATCTTATCCAGGACAAATCAGTCACATTCTCCAAGGTAAAATTTCAATTAGGTTTCAAAAATTGCAATTTCTTGAACCTAATTTTGTTGTATGTTTTCTAATTAAAACCAAATTCATCGATGATTATGGAAAAAATTCAGAAAAGACAATGACAGTCTGTAAAATCAAAGGTAGAAAAGGGGTGAGGGGACCAGATCTTCAACAGTTCGCTTAAATACACTGTCGTCCTCGTTGACGCCTTTTCGTATAATTTGGAAATCATTATTTTATGGTGTGTGAATTGTATAATCATTTATTTATATTATGTATATGTATGCGTTTGTACACATATATACATGAATATATTATAATAATCGCTTTGAAATTTCTTTTCTTGTATTGCGTTGAATTGTAGCTAACCTCATTTTTCATGATCACCGATTGTTTCAGATGATGATTGTTATTTGATCGCAAGGACTTTTCTGCCCCTTTATGTCTCCTTCGACTGCTACCATTACTATAATTCTTGAGGAGAAGTGAAAGAAATACATTACTATTATTTCACAAGTTGTTATGCATAGGCCGTGAGATTTTAGTGTCTTGCTGAATATGGGGGTAAATGGTGGTGGAGGAGGGGAGACGCGGTCAGGGGACGGTGGCGTCGGCCATGATGAGAAGATTTTTGTATCTGTGCGGTTGCGACCGCTGAATGGGAGAGAGATTGTTATGAACGATGTGTCTGATTGGGAATGTGTTGCTGACAACACAATCGTTTACAAGAATGTGAACCTCAGTGTGCCGGAGAGATCCATGTACCCATCTGCATATACATTTGGTATGCGATATTTTTTGTGGAATAGTACTTTTTTCTGGAACAACTGATAATGAGCTCTTTGGTGTTCTTTCCATCTACTCGTAGAAATTTATCGTTAATCTTCTTGATTAGGGTAGAAAGTATGAGGATTAGAAGACTAATGGGCGATGATCATTCTAAGCCAAATGTCAAAGCATTTGTCGCCAATCAGATCTTATTTGTTTAATCATAATCGTGTTTGATATGCATTTGAATATGCCTTTCTTTATGTTTTATGCCTTTCTTTATGTTTCAGGGTTACATGAACTGTCATAGTAACTTCAAGAGAGAAGTTATAAATTATTAATCTGAAGATTTTGTTTGTTATGGTGGCTAAAATTTGGTGCAGACAGGGTTTTCGGTTGTGATTGCTCCACAAGGCAGGTTTACCAGGATGCAGCAAAGGATGTTGTGCTTTCGGTTGTTGGCGGTATCAATGGTGGGTTCACTTTTTTTTTTTCTTTCTATAACTGCTTCATCTTGTCGAAGTCTGTTAGGATTCACGTTCAATTACGAAATGTCCCAGCTAGTATTTTTGCATATGGGCAAACAAGCAGTGGCAAGACATACACAATGACTGGAATCACCGAGTATACTTTAGCAGATATATATGACTATGTACAAAAGGTAACCACGTCATCTCATGGTTTTCACTTCTTGAAATTTAACCCATTTTGCTTCACTTTTTCTCATTGATGGTTGATTTCAATGTAGCACACTGAAAGGGACTTTCATTTGAAATTCTCGGCCATGGAGATATATAATGAATCTGTCAGAGATCTGCTTAGCTCTGATGGCTATCCACTCAGACTTTTAGATGATCCGGAGGTGAACTTTGGTCTTGATTTATCATTTTGATACATCTTATGTTACAGTATCATTGACTTGATCATTTTAACAGAGAGGAGTTATTGTTGAGAACCTCACAGACGAAATTGTTAGGGACTGGGATCATGTGGTGGAGCTCCTTTCCATCTGTGAAGGTAAGAAAATCTTCGACTAATTTAGCACTTAATTCATAACATTTTAGTGTAGTTCCTAATTACTTATTCATCATTGCAGCTCAGAGACAGAGTGGGGAGACATCACTTAACGAAACAAGCTCTAGATCACATCAAATCATCAGACTGGTATATCTGTTTTGCTAAGCTAGTCGCTCTCTCTCTCTCTCTCACACACACACACACACACATGCACACGCACGTACACACATACACACTCTGGGTGAAGAAGTTTTCTGATTGCAGAAGATGTTATTTTTCATGATTTGGTTATTGGATGCAGACAATCGAGAGTTCTCCCCACAACTATATAGGCAGGGACAGCGCAAGTACGCTGATCTCTACTGTGGTATGCATACATTTAATTTAGGTTATTGATACGGATGGCATGCAATATCCCTTTTAATCTGTCACTAAGCTATAGCAGTTCTCTTTTGTGCTTACTATAGAACTTTGTTGATCTTGCGGGAAGTGAGCGGGCATCCCAGTCACTAACAGCTGGTACAAGGTTAAAGGAAGGATGCCATATAAATCGCAGTCTATTGACTTTGGGAACTGTAATTCGAAAGCTCAGGTTAGTTGACATTTATTCTCTCATGTATCGATTTATAATATACTCTCAGTTCATTGATAGGGTGAATCAAATTCACATGGTAGGTTTAACCAAACATTATGCTAATGATGAAATTGTATGCTAGCTTTTATATGCTTGCTATTCTACTTTATTCTATGCCATATTCCCTTCTTCCAAAATTCAGCTTACTTTATCCTCATGTCTCTTGTCCTATGATTGGATACAGCAAGGGAAGAAGTGGACACATACCATTCAGAGATTCTAAGCTAACTCGCATACTGCAATCTTCTTTAGGAGGTAATTCTAGAACTGCCATCATCTGTACCATGAGCCCTGCAAGAAGTCATGTTGAGCAATCAAGAAACACACTCTTGTTTGCAAGTTGCGCCAAGGAAGTGTGTACTAATGCCCAGGTAAATACGGTCATCTCGGACAAAGCTTTAGTTAAGCATCTGCAGAGAGAATTGGATAGATTGGAGAATGAGTTGAGAACTCCAGGGTCTAATCAGATGATATCAGATATTACTGCATTGTTGCAGGAGAGGGACCATCAAATTCAAAAGGTAATTAATTAGTTTTCTGATCCTTAGATTAAAAAATAATTACCAAGAAGGTTTATGCATATTCAACATCCGATATGTATAGTTTTCTTGTAAGCTTATAGTGCACAACTATGCATATGTTAACAATTGATGAGCAAACACGTTACATGATAAAATCTTGTATGCCAGTAACATATGTTATTCTCTTATACAGATGCAGAAGCAAATAGAAGAACTAACAATTGAAAGAGACGATGCTCGATCTCAAGTTCAGGACTTACTACGTCTGGTTGTAAATAATGGAAATTCATTGATACGGGTAAAAGCATGACAAAATGATTGATTTATTTGTATGTTTATGTATGTCGATATTCATATTCTATTTTCTTTGCATCTTACAGATAGGTCCAGATAATTACCCTCGCCTGCGAGTGCAGATATCACCTGAACCTGAAAATTACTTGCCAGAGACATCAATTGTGGAAGATCTTCGTCACTCATTTGATGGAAGTGTTAGAACTCTTGCTTCAAGTCGATACTCTCCAAGGCGCAGTGAGAGTAGTTTTGAGGAAAACTATATAAGAGTAACTGAATTTGATGACACCTCTCCGTCCAACAATACTCCGTTAAGGCCGATCAGAATTGCACAATTAAGTGAATGTGGCTCTTGTCATGAGTGGGACGAAGTTGACGAGAAAAGTAATAGAACTTCCCAGGAATTATGCAAGGAAGTTTGTTGCATTGAAACAGAGGAGTTAACTCCAAAAATATATGTACAATCATACTGTTTGTCGCCTGATGCAAATATTAGGATCTCTTCTCAAGCAATGTTTCATGACGATGAAAGCGAAACTCATGATGTGACAAGTACTAAAGGTGAATACATGTCACCCAAGTCAAATGAGAATGGAGAAATGAAGGAACATAATAGAGTGGCACAACCACCATTGAAGGAAGATAGAGAAGTGGAAACGTCATTGAAGGAAGACGGACAATTAGAATCAAGCCCTCTTGACAAAGATAATCACCTGGCAGAGTTTCCACAAAGTTTCAAATTACCAAAGAGTAGAAGTTGGAGTGAGGGCAGACATTTTACATGGCTTAACAAGGTAGAAAACAACACACCACCAAATGGTTATGAGAAGTACTACACTGGAAGAGCTCAAAGTTTTTCTATAAAGAGTTCTACTTTAAGCTATGGTGTAGCATCTGAAAAAGGTTCCCATTCTTCTATGGGCACCACTGACCTTAACAGTAATGAAGCAGAAAAGAAGATCTCCAGTGATGAAGAGGATTCATCGATCACTTCAGCCACCAAAGAACCTGCTGAGACTCGACATGACGAGGAAGTTGAAGATACCCAAGTGAGTTTATGCATTTTAGAAACAAAATCAACTCTTCCTGTACTTATTATTCACATTTTATTGTCTATGTTGTCACAATCAATGCCTTTAGGCAAAACAGACAAATTGTTTGATGAATTTTAATGGGTTTTTTGTTGCATACCTCAAGAAAATATTTTTTTCAACCATGTGTTTATCACAATCATCTCAAGTACGTGTTCTTTGTCCAATCATCAAAAATATTTATAATACAAATCACTAACATGATTAATACTATCGAATATTTTTCTGCTCCGTCCTCTTATCTCACATCTACCATAAAACGTTATGTTAATTGGATTAAAGTTGGTTACAAACCAATACAATTATAATTACAAGAATATCTTTGTGTTGAGGTATGCAACAGAAAGAGCATCATGTTATAACTTAAAGAGTGTGTTCTTAATCTTATTGGGCAGAATTGAGAAAAAGGTATCCAAAGTGTGCTTTAGGGATCTCAGAAACAAAATTTTGACTTCCCATACTGTTAATTCATATCTTAATCTGTCTAGTATCATGATCATAAGCCAAGACTGTTTTGTTTATCATAGATTACAACCATGAAGCGGATGAAGAGTGTCAAAAGCATCGGTTTGGATCCAATAGAAGATGAGTTCAGAACTACATCTTGGGCCTTAGAGTTCAAGAGGCTACAAAAAGAACTCATAAAACTTTGGCATGATTGCAATGTGTCCCTGGTGCACAGAACTTACTTCATCTTGCTATTCAATGGTGACCCAACTGATTCCATTTACATGGAGGTTGAGCGCAGACGGTTAGCCTTTGTAAAAGATATGTTCAATCGGGTTAATCTCGCTGTGGATGATGGCCAGACTATCACCCGTGCCTCCACGTAAGATCCGTCTAACTTTTTCTATAAATAGTAAATTAGTTGGTGTTAAAATGTTAAATTATTTTTCCCAAATGCCTATGAAATATTTCTGCAACATAAATATTACATTATATCTCAACAAAGCATTATCCATTTAATTTCTTAAACATTTTCCTTAAAAGATGAGGTTTTGTGAACAGTGAAAAGTCTCTACGGCGGGAAAGAGAGATGCTAACAAAGCAAATGCATAAGAAACTATCAGAAGAAGAGAGGGAGAGTATGTTCCTGAGGTGGGGAATTGGGTTGAACACAAAGTACAGAAGGATTCAGTTGGCTAACCAGTTATGGAGCAAGGTGGATGACATGGACCATGTCGCTGAGAGTGCTGTGATTGTGGCCAAGTTGGTTGGACTGATAAGAGATCCTGGTCATGCTCCTAAAGAGATGTTTGGGCTAAATTTCACAGCTTCACCCTCCAGAAAAAGTTACAGTTTCAAGCGTAGCTTGATTCCGCTCTTGTAAGATGGGTTTCATTTCCTTCCAGGTAACAAGTCAATATATGCACATTTACATCTAGTAAATCAATCATGTTTTAGATCCATCTCTCAACTGATTATACTAGTAGGGGAAGCGTTTGTATAGTTGGTCGACATTCATGTTATGGCGTATAAGAGTTTAACTGCATTCTCCATTCTCTGCTTCTTCTATTGTTTTAACTCAATTTCTTCTTTTCCTATGCATTATATGGTAGTAAATCAATGACACTTAATAGGTTTAAACTTTGTGACTCAAATCATATTGAATATATTGAAGTGAACTTATATATATATATATATATAATGAAATTGTTTGAAATAATTCATTTCTTGAGAAAATTGTTTCATATATTTTTGTTTCTATGTAAAAATTAAATTGTTTCATGAATTTCTCATTTTGATGAAATTTGTTTACCAAAATTAATAGAATGTAGATGATAATGTCCATAATTAACGTCATCCACAAAAAAATGAGTAATCAACCCTCATAATTAAAAAAGAAAAATAAAAGAAAAATTGTGATTGGTTGAATGAGGTTTTCACGGTTTCTACCAATGACTTGGTTTGCATTTTATCCTTCCCCCATATTATATATACATACATACATACATACATATATATACACACATATATATATATATATATATATTGGGGCTTAATCATTTGAGAACTCTAAAATTTGTGACATCCGTGAGAATTTCTACCTTGAGGTTTAATTTTCTCCGTCTAGTTATAGTATTTAATGTATTGATTAACATATATTTGTTTCATAATGTGTTTGTTTCATGTGTATTCTGTTCACAATGTGAAACTTTTTTATATGTATTTTTTGTTTCACAATGTGTTTGTCATATGTATTTTTTGTTTCACAAATACTTCAAAAAGGTTCACATTGCGTAAATATGAAACAAACACATTGTGAAGCAAATGTATGTTAATCAATATTCTAAATCCCAGTCTTACATAAAAAAAATCATATTAGATGAAACAGGGTTCTCAAGATTATCACAATTCCATGGGTTCTCAAAAGTAGGTCCGGTAAGAAGAGAAGTTATAGTGAGAATCATAAGAAAAGATCTCCACCATTGGATCAATCCTAATTGAATGTCAGCACTAATGAGATTAAAATTGATCAAGGGTTCAGATCTCTTCTTACATTCTCACAATAACTTCCCCTCTCACATGATCCTTCACCTATGTATATATATATATATATATATATATGTATGTATGTATACATATATACGTGTGACCTACTCATTTCCCTCTACTCTGTCTGCAATACTTGTTATTTAACTCTTCACTTTTTCTCTAATTTCTTGTTTGAAGTATTTAATCCTTCATTTAAAGCATATACACACATATGCTTTTTGAGCTTTCATTTTTCTTCTTGTTATAATCTACAGATCCCTTGCTTCTCTTCTTTCTCCTTAATTCTCTCTCTCTCTCTCTCTCTATATATATATATATATATATGTAAGCTTTAGAGTTGTAGTAAGAGTTATTATTTACTGTTGTATTTAGATCTACAACATAAAGGAATATTTATACAAGAGAGATTAGGAGATAGACTACAACTACAACTCCTAATATAAAGGGATAAAACTTATCTATAGACGATTCCTTATCAGAGTCTATCCACAATTCTCTAGTAACCTATATATGTATACTATTCTACACTCCCTTTAAGTTGGATGTTATAGGTTATACAATTCAAGTTTGACCTTTAAAGAGTTAAATAGTGGAAAATTTGTTACTTTAGTGAAGATGTCGGCCATTTGTTGAGTAGGGATGTAGGAGACTTTCAAGATTTCCTTGATCAAATAACGATCCACCTCAACATGTTTTGTTCGATCATGATAAATTGGATTATGCATCATAGCAATAGCAACTTTATTGTCACACCAAATAGTCATTGGGTGTAGTACATGGATTCATAGTTCCTTCAATAATCGTCTTAGCCAGAGTGCTTCACACACACCTAGGACAGTGGTTCGTAGTTCGGCTTCAGCGCTGCTTCTTGAGATCACTCCCTGCTTCTTACTTCGCCATGTGACAAGGTTCCCAAACACATAGGATTAGTAATCCGAGATGGAGTGCCAATCATTTTGACAACTCGCCCAACTTGCATCTGTGAACACTTCTACACTTCGATTGTCTTGTTTTTTGAACAGTAATCCATGACCTGGTGTAGCTTTAAGGTACAGTAGGATTCGGTGGGCAGCATTACGATCGCATTAGGATGGTGAGTGCATGATCAGACTTACATAGTTATCTGGAAACGTAATATTAGGCCTGGTATGTGCAAGGTATATCAGTCGACCAACAAGACGTTGGAATCTCCCCTTGTTGACTGAAATCGTGGAAGCAGCATCAGGCTTTGGATTAGACTCCATTCTAGTAGAGGCGGGCCGAGATCCTAGCATCCCGATGTCTTTTAGCAAGTCCAAGGTATATTTTCTTTGAGTCAAGATAATCATAGATTTCGTTCTTGCAATCTCTATTCCCAAGAAGTACCATAATGGACCAAGGTCTTTCATTTCGAAAGAGTGAGCCGGGTGGGCTTTGATTTTTGCGGCCACTGGAGGATCTCCCATAAGTATAATATCATCGACATACACTGTAAGGATAACGATATTACCATGCTCCCTAAAATAGAAAAGCGACATTGGCTTGAGCATATCCAATTCTTTTCACTGTGTGAATGAAACGGCCAACCATGCTTTAGGGAACTGTTTGAGACCATAAATGGCTTTCTTGAGACAAAAAGCTTTCTGGGTACCATTAGTAGCATGAAAACAGGGGGGTAATTCCATGTAGACTACCTCGTTGAGGTTGCCATTTAGAAACGGATTTTTTACGTCTAGTAGATGAAGAGGCCAATTAAAGTTGGCAACAAGTGATAGGAGAGCCTGGATGATATTAATTTTGACAACCGGGTCAAAAGTTTCTTGATAATCGATCCTGTACTTGGTTTTAAAAAGCGCGATGCGGTCCGATGCGTT